ATTTCGGTTAAAATCCATCTAAACCTTATGCGTCACTGGGCTTGAGTGAGATGTAGGCTTAGAAATGGTAGGTAATAGCACACTCTTGGCCAAGTTTTGGATTTTCACTAACTTTGGCTTCTACGGGCTTGCCTTAATGAAATGTTTTAATGAACTTTTTAGCGTTAGTGTAAAGAAATATTTCACGTAGTTGGGAAATTTTACTAAGGTTTATTTTGCTAAAAATGAATTCAGTAAGAGCTCGGCTGCTAACTAAAAAGGTTGGCAGTTCGAATCCACCATCTGCTCCTTGGGAACTTTATGGGGGCAGTTCTGTTCTGTTCTGTCCTATAGGGTCGCTATGAGTCAAAATCAACTCGACGGCAATGAGTTTGGGTTTGTTTTTTTTTTATAATGTACGAAGAGAAACCCTGGTGGCACAGTGGTTAAGCGCTCAGCTGCTTACTGAAAGGTTGGCGATTGGAACCCACCAGCTGCTCCATGGGAGAAAGATGTGGCAGTCTGCTTCCTTAAAGATTACAGTCTTGGAAACCCTACGGGGCAGTTGTACTCTGTCCTGTTGTAGGGTTTTGTGAGTTGGAATTGACTCCTTGGCAATGGGTATAATGTACATAAATTATCCATCTTGCTTTAATCAAGACAAAAGCCATGTGAGGCCAGAAGTATCCCAGTTTTACAGCCTGGATTTGAATTCAAGTTTAAGTGACTCCAAAACTCTTACCACTTTTACTACCTGTTAGATTGAGGGGGAGTTGTCCGTAGCTTGTTTTCCGAGTGCTCTAGGGCTCTGTGCAGTTTCTTTGGGGTCATCAGCTTACTTTAGACGTTAATTTTATACAGAATTATTCACTGTGTTTGGAAAAGTTTCAGTGCCTGAAATGTTTGAAGTCTGCCCTGTATGAATGAATATTAGAAAGTACAAATGCAGATAATAGTAGTTATATTTGTCTGTGGGATTGTACTGTAGATTTCATTATATTTCCTATATATTCATAATATTTTGTGTAGCCCAATATTAAATAATGAGTTCGAAGTGATTGAACACACGATTTGAGGGGGAGAGGTGATTAGAGTTAAGATTTGTTGCTGAAAAGTGAGTCGTTCAATGAAGAGCAGGATATTAGTATAATTACATAATGCACCCTACCAAAAATAGTTATCAATTACAAAGGGAGAATGGTGACTTGAAGGTAAAGAAGTTGAGCAGACACCCAGTTGACCAGGTGACCAAGGTCAGCAGCACCAGAGGCAGTATGGGTGCCCATCATGTGCCTTCTGGTCATTTGCTGACAAGAGCACAGCATCATCTCTCGAGTTCCTGCCAAGAGTGCGTGACTCAAGCTTCATCATGAGGAATGTCAGATCGACCCGAGTGTGGGACCTGTGCTCTTTAAAACTATAAAGTTTATAAGAGACAAGGAAAGGCTGTCTGAAGAGACAGGATAACTAAATGCACTGTGTGATCCTGGACTGGATGCTGGACCAGAAGGGGCAAAAAAAGACATTGTAAGGAGCAGCTGGCAAAACATGAATTGTATCTGTGGCTTATGTTGTAGTGAGCATGGTAGTAATAATGTTGATTTCCTGACGATTTGTACGGTTATTTAGTGATTCTACGGGAGAGGGTCCTAGTTTTGGGAAAATACGCACTGGAGCATTTAAGAGTGATGAGACATCATGCTACAGCTTGCTCTTAAATGGGTCAGAAAAAATGACGACTAAAATACCTGACGTGTGATTTAATATATAAGGTATAGCATTATATGTGGGTCTGTGTTGATACATATTAATATGCTATATGATAATCTATTATATTTTAATGTATATTTATATTCTATACATTTATATATGCATTTAGAAAGAGAGATGAAGTAAATGTGGGTAAATGTTTATATTTCTGTAGATAGAGACGGAGCAAAGGAGATAATGTTAACAAATGGGAGGGTCTAGGTGAATGGGATACAGGAGTTCTTTGTACTATTGCAACTTAAGTTTGAAATTATTTCAAAATAAATGATTTAAGTTATTTTGAAATAATTTCAAACTTAGAGAAGGAGCCCGTGTACCCATTCCACTGTGCGCTGTAGGGTCGCTGTGAGTCGGAGCCGACGCGACAGCCCGGGCTCCGTCGCCCGCACTTCAGCGCACGGGTTCACCGCTCTCGCTGTCCGCAGAGGCTGTTCTGAGCGCGCGGACCGACCGCGCGGACCGACCGCGCGCACCGACCGCGCGCACCGACCGCGCGCACCGACCGCGCGCACCTCTGACCGGCCTGGCTGATGACGCGGTGCGGTCGGAGGCCCAGGACTTGACTGGGGTGAAGGTAATGCCTGTTTGAAATGGAACAAGCTCGTCTGTGTTTAGTGAGACGGTTTACACTGGCTTTCCCAATATAATGTCAACGTGCAGGCTGAAGTAGGAGTTTAATTGGGTTTAGGGGTGCGCACGACTCTCACTGCAGACTTTCGGGGGCTGGGGATGCCGGTGGGCTGGTTTACGAATTAATTCCCACAACCAGAACAGACCCAGGGTCGTGTTGTTCCGAGGCTCTGCGTCCTCGGGAGCCCGACGAGACCAGCCGCCGGGAGTGTCCCGAGGGAGCGGGCCGGGCCAGAAGGCGGCGCCGCGCGCCGTGCACGTGCAGGGGGAGACTGCGGTCGGACTGAGGGGCCGACGAAGGGCGCTCGAATGACTTGAGGGGAGTGTTTTCACTCTGGATGAACATCCACAGTGGCACGGTCAGCCGCCTAGTGCAGTGCAGAGCGCGCGCCAGGTCTGACGACACATGTCTCACAGGGAACTGCCGACGTTCGCCGCCCGGACCTGAAAAACGGCCCGAGTTCACCTCAACGAGTGGAGACGCTGAGGCGGGCGGGGCGTCGCCGGAGGCCGAGGGCCGCCGCTCTTTGCGCGGGGTCGCTCCGGGTCGGAGTCGGCGCGGCCGCTGAGGCCACGCCCCCAAACCCGATTCCACCCCCCGCCCGGCACTGTCTGCGGAGGGGCGTCTGCGCGTCCC